TGATCTCATAACATTTCATAAGCAATAATGTTGACCAGATTGAATAACAAGATATAAGGAAAATGATGAAAAGTTTTTGACACCGATGATGGACGGGGGAGATACCATCGGCTCGATCAACCAGAGGAAGACCTTTATATAAATAGGTAAATATATATATATCTGAAAAAAAAAAATCAAAATGTCAGTTTCATTGATATTTATTATTTTTGTATGACTTTAAAAATAGGATTTTCACATGGAATGAGTTTTGGGCAAATAAAGAGCTTAGATGTCATGTATGTAAAATGAAGCAAAGATATTCAGACTATTTATATTGAAGGATTTATATATTCATTAATAATTTTTTTTTTTTCTAAATAGCCTTAGACTAACATAGACCTTGCATATACCAATAACCCCATGCAATGATTTAGATATAATCAAACTGTAACCTGCTTGAAGCTTATCTCAGACCTAGTCAGCCGTTCCTGAAGGAATCCCTTTCTTATTAGAATTCCAAGACTGCTGAAAATAAGGCCAGAGATTGCTAAGTGAAGGTGTGGTTGACAGCTCGCAGATTGTTGGCTACCATTACGCATATTACGTTGCTGTGGATGTATGAATGGGCAAATAGATATAGCTTTGGCTTTAGAACTATGGTTAATAAGGCCAACCACCAAACTACCTGAGTTCAACTGGAAAAGGGGGATATAAGTAAACAGAATTTAAGGTTAAAACTTTTGAAATATCACGAGAAAGTTACAAATGAATACCTACGAAAAGCAGGATGAATTATTTGATTTTTCTGTTGGACAGCTTTCATCAGAAATATGTTTTTTATTTATTTATTTGTTTACTTATTTATTCCTACAATTCTTTTGAAAGTAGTACATTTGCATGTAGGGGAGAGTAATAAATTGACAAATAAAGTACATTGTTTGCAACTGTGAGGATAAATAACAAGCCGTATTGTCATCATTTTCATGATTGTTATTTTATCATTGTTAATGATATTGTTATTGTATTTATTCTTATTATTGTTATTATTGTTGTTGATGTTACTGTTATTATTAATGTTTTTGTTATTATTGTTGTCATTATTATTGCTCTTGTTATTGTTGTCATTATTCTATCATTACATTATTATTTTTTTTTTTTTTATTATCATCATTATTACCATTGTTATTATTATTATCATTATTGTTATTGATATTGCTGTTGATAATATTATCATTATTATTATTATTATTATTATTATTATTATTATTATTATTATTATTATTATTATTATCATTATTGTTATTATGATTCTACTGTATTATTATGATTGTTCTTTTATTGTTTTTGTTATCATTACTATTATTTTTTTATTATTAATATTATTATTATTAGTAGTAGTAGTAGTAGTAGTATATTTTTATTATTATTATTGGTATCATTACTAATGTTATTATTATCTTAATATTACTATGATCTATATCATTGGTATTATAATTTTGTTATTTTTATTTTCATTGTTATTATTATTACTATTGTACAAAGTATATATTATAATCAGATTTCAACATATTTTCTACATTTCTGTGCCTTCCTATGTGAGCTCTGTTTGCTGCGTGTCTTACAGGGATAAAAATGGGAATTGCCCTAAAGTATTTGATTAGAAGTTGGGGACAGAATTGGCAAAATTATACATGTTCCAAGATGGCTAGACATTTGGCTTACCTTCGGTATAGAGACTTGCTACCACTTCGATGTCTTTGTAAAATTGTCAACCTTTGGTAAGTACAATATTCTGTAGAGTGTATGTGCTAGGTTCTACTGCATTGTGCTTACTCTAGCAATGATTGAATCACACTTCTTTGTACAGATACATGCTTACTTGTTCTATTCTTAAAGGCATAGTCACACAGGCACTCTATACTTTCACTTTATTCTGAATGAAATCTTTTTTATATACTGTACATGCATACATTCAGATACACTTATTCTCACACTCACTCCTCACTCACGCAAATACTCATTCATTTACTCTCTCACAAACACACACACACACACACACACACACACACACACACACACACACACACACACACACACACACACACACACACACACACACACACACACACACACACACACACATACACACACACACACACACACACACACACACACACACACACACACACACACACACACACACACACACACACACACACACACACACACACACACACACACACACAGGTGCTTTTATACATAAGTAAAACCATGTATGTGAACAGACATGGAGTGAAAATAGCAGTTACATTACTAGTTATAGATAAAGTTTTCAGAATCTCAGTCGCTCATCCATTTAGTTGAACAATGTCTACTCTTATTTTACAGTCGAGAGCTGGTATTATAGTTGCTTTATGTAAAATATGCTTGTATCAACATGTAACAGAACGTCTTTCTTTTCTGATTTTCTCTCGTAATTGAAGTTTCTGAAGAAGGGTACCGTATATGTATATATCATTGTCTGCTTCTTTCCAGAGAGAGCAAGAGTTAGTGTAAGGTTTAGGTCGACAGTCTCCTGATAACCGTTTCAGTCACAAGTGAGCATAGAAAGGGATGTTGGTCATTCAAGTATTTATGTAAGCTAGATAGAGGTAATACATATCGATATGAAGTGTAAAGTATTTGCAAGGAATTTTAAGAGAATTGGATTGAAGAAAGGAAAAGTTGTGATACTGCGATAATTTTGTTTATGTTAACACTTTTATGAATTTTATTTGCTATGGATATGTGATTTTGCTTCTTTTTATTTTATTTTTTTTTAGAATTATTATTATTTTTTTTTTAGAGTTGTTATTATTTCATTATGTGATCCAGTGGAGATTGCAGATGACTTCTTTTTCTTTCATAGCCTTTTTGCTTTTATTAGATAGTCTTTGCACGTTGTATGCATGATTTTGTACACCTCATCTTGACCCAAGAAATGTCAAAACTAATGATATGCCTTGAATATTCTCCTCTGCATTGTTTATGAAAGAAGCCCTGGACTGTTCTCTTTGTCATTACAACAGCCACTGATGTTCTAGTCATCTGTGAATCATCTGTTAATTGGCATTTTGTTTTTTATGCTTTTTGCTAAGATTGTCTGTTTGGATTTACTGTTCTGTGTTTTGTTGTCTTTGAAACACTAAGGTAGTAGGGTTCTCTGATTGCTTTAACATGTTATAATGGTATAGATGTATATGTATATTGTCCTTTTGTAGACAGAGGGTAGGTAATACATTATCCTATTCAGGGCTCTTCTTTCAAACACTTTACTCAGTCATAGCATCAAGGAAATGGGTTGGTGTTGGGAATAGAAATGATTAAATTCGGGTCTCAAGAACCCTATTGGAACCTGAAGCTGAGTGTACATAGTTGTAAAAGTGTTTAATACGAAACTGAGTAGTAAGTTTCTTTGTGTCAAATATAGGGAAATGTATAAATGCAAATGAATAACTTTCTTACTTATGATGACGTCTAATAAAAAAACATCTGTTAGCTATCTTGTGTTGTGTTTCTGGTCATCCCCATTTATACCTTTCCTAATACAAGTTTCACTCTTGTGAAGAGCAGTCATGAGTTCCTATTCATTTATTGCAAAATTTAGAATGATCCCTAGAAGACAAGCTATTGCATTACAATCTCTATTTATTTTTAAATTGCTGAAATAGTATTTTATCCTGTCACTTCAATGAATTCACTTTAAAAGTTCCAGCTCACTGATCTGGTAACATATTACCTTTCCAATTATAAGCAATGAAGCTGACAGAACTTGGCCTGAGAGTAAGTAAAGTACTCTCCAGAACTTTGTTGTAAAAGTCAATGAGTAATACTAAGAAGACATATTTTGTAGTGGTTCCTGTGAATCGAGTAATTAAAATCTGAAACTTTACCTGCTTTGGTGAACTTCTTATTAGTCTTTGGTGGCCTGATATCTTTAAAAATTACAAAGTTCATTTACTCATTAATATTCTACAACCAGAGTGGGGTCTCTGATATATACATGAAATGTATCTGATTCTTTCTGTAGTAGTTATATACCATAGATTTCCAAGTTATTCAAAGGAATTCATGTCCCTTATTGACCTTGTTTTGATTTTGTTGTGTGTGGTGTGTGCGTATGAGGACCTGAGGTGAGTTTGTCACTGGTTTTTCTGTACATATTTTTCCTTCCTTGATATTTTTGGGACATTTATATAGGGAAGTAAAGGTTGTATACGTTTATCCAATATTTTCATGGATAGTAACTCTGTGCAGTCTCATTAAGCTGTGAAAATATATTCATAGAAAAGAAAAATGTGCCTAATATTAATGTATATAAAAATTCTTTTCATATGATATTCACAAAGGAGAATTTCAATTTCACATGACAATAACATAAAAAGTCATATTTTCACTTTTAAAAAAGTTTCCAAAATCACATGAAGTGAATGTTACAATTTATATGGAATCATACTAATTCTTTTATTTTTTTCTCACCCAACAGGGCTCAGCTGACTAGAAAGCAGCTGATAATATGTGTGGTGTTAGCTGTAAGCTGCGTGGCAGCCATAGCAGTGGGCCTCGGCCTTGGTGAGTGGTAGCCCCCTCCCCCTCCTTCATTTTGGTAATGTTGGTATTGGTGTGGGAATAAAACTTTGTTTTTTATTTATTTATTTATTTTATTTATTTTTTTTTTTTTATTGATTTGTAACTTTGCATCATTATTATTGTTAGTGTTGATGTTATTATTATTATTATTATTATGAATATTATTATTTCATTATTATTATTTTTTTTTTTTTCATTGTTTTCATTATTATTATTATCATTGTTGTTGTTGTTATTTTTAGTAACATTTTTGTAATTGTTATTTGTTTTTATGTATTTTTATTATTATTATCTTTGGTATTATAGTTTGTGATTATTATAGTTATTAGCATTTTATTATCATCATGTCTTTTTCTCTTTTCTTCTTTTTTGTCTCTATTTCCATTTTTGTTTTTGTTTGAATGTTTAGTTTTTATATATAAGCATCAGATGTTTTTTTCATTATTTTCCTTAATTTCCTAATTTTAATTTTAATTGATGTCCATTTGTATTTGTAAAGTTGGAGATATATTTTTTTCATTTATATTGTATTTTAATTTTTATTTGTACAGGATTTTCATTTTGTTATTGTTACCGAGTTTGCATTTTCATTTGTTTTTCTTCATTTGTTTATTTATTTTTTGTCTTATTTTGTTTTTTATTTTTTTGTTTATATTTTATCCACTTTTTATTTCTTTTTATCTTTATTTCTTTCTTTATTTTTTTCTTTTCTTTTTCTTTTCTTTTCTTTTCTTTTCTTTTTTTCTTTTCATTTTATTTTATTTCTTTTCTTTTCTTTTCTTTTCTTATCTTCTTTTCATTTCTTTTCAATTCTTTTTTTTCTTTTCTTTCTTTGCTTATCTTCTCTTTTCTTCCTTTCTTTTCTTTTGTTTTGTTTGTTTCTTTCTTTCTTGTCTTTTCTTACTAATGCATCTCTTTCCACAGGCCTCCCCAGGCAGAGCTCCGAACCTTTAGCCAAGCAGGAGTCCAAAGCACCTTTAGCGGCAGCTGTAAGTTCGCAAAATCAATATATGAGCAGATTTGCGGGGATAGACAGGGCTGAAAATTGTTAGATAAAGATGTGGAATTGGTAGATGACCGATAGAATTATTGGGTAAAGAAATTTTTAGATGAAGATTTAGATTTGTTAGATAAAGCTACAAAATTATTAGATAAAGATTTAAAATTACTAGATGAAGATTTAAAATTACTAGATGAAGATATAAAGTCAGATATAGAATCAACTGCACTGATATGAGAAGATTGATTGTTTTTTTGTTTTGTTTTGTTTTTTTTCTATGGAGATATAAGATTGTGTTTGTATTAAGTTTCTCTATGCAGTATTAGCATGTTTTCACTAGGTACAGTACAGTAACTCTTTTGCTTTGCATATTATATTTGGTGTTTTGTGAACCTTACAGTTCAAATTAGTTCTCTTGATTGATTATTATTATCATTTGATGTTATTTATTGTAAAATTCATCTTCATTCTTCCTTCATCATATTTGTCATTGTTTTTCATCAGAAACCAGCCCCCCCAGAGCCCAGGGCCAGTTTGAATCATGGGGAGACAGCGATGCGACATCATATGGGGAGGCTACAGAACCTCCTCCGTCAGAGACCGAGCTCGGAGAATTTAACACGGCTGCAGTTAGCTCTGATGGGACCCCATGTGCGCAGATTGCCACGTGAGTTTATCGCTTGTGCTTACACGTGTTTGTTTTTGTGTTGCATGTCATGCACTCCATATCAAATATTTTGGATTCTCTGGCAGTGTCATCAAAGTTTTCTCATTTGTGCATCTCTTTACTAAGTTGCTAAGCTGTAGTGAGGAAAACATCTGTTAAAATGAAAAAGATAATAACAGCCAATGACCAATTAATGCAAGTGTTTAAGGGTCATCCATTTTTTTCATCATTTTCACAAGCATACAAACTGTATGCTGGGGGGAGAGGGGGTTAAACCACGTGTACACTTTCTAAAAAGTAATAAAGATTATGCCAATTTTAAAGCTGTATCGCAGACACCTATAATCCTCGGCTATCTCCGAATGTATCGACCTCAATTACAATGTGTTATTTTTCACATGTATTGATGTACATGACTTGCCGTATTTTTATTCACTATGTCATAGATGAAATATATTAGACTCCTTGTTGCAAGGTCATCATTTTTCCCATTTCAGCTTGTACTCTTTTGGGAGGGGAAAAGTACTCTTTATAGGCTTTTGAAAATAACGAAAAAAATGGATGGCCCATAAGAGTAACAAATCTAAATAGAGTGAAAGAATTAACACTCACATACCTCCCTACAGAGACATACTGAAGAGGAATGGCACACAGCAGCAGATCAGCGGTAGCAGGACTTTTCTGCGTAGGAGTCATCAACACTCAGTCTATGGGTCTTGGGGGCGGGTTCCTCATGACCTACTATGACCGGTCAACAGGGAAGGCCTACTCTTTAATGCAGGGAAAGTGCGCCGTCAGAAGCTTACGAGGACATGTATGGCGGGGACGCGGAATTAGCTCAGAAAGGTAAAGAGTATGACTGGCTCTGTGTGTTGTGTGTGTGTCTCTCTCTCTCTCTCCTCTCTCTCTCTCTCTCTCTCCTCTCTCTCTCTCCTCTCTCTCTCTCTCCTCTCTCTCTCTCTCTCTCTCTCTCTCTCTCTCTCTCTCCTCCCTCTCTTTTTTCCCCCTCTCCTCTCTTTTCCCCCTCTCCCTCTCTTTTCCCCCTCTCCTCTCTTTTTCCCCCTCTCTCTCTTTTTCCCCCTCTCCCTCTCTCTTTCCCCCTCTCCTCTCTCTTTCCCCCTCTCCCTCTCTCTTTCCCCTCTTCCCCTCCTCCCTCCCTCCCTCCCATTTTCTTATCCTGATATTCTCTTCTTTCTTTATTATTATGGATTTGTTTCTGGTGATATAAATGTGAATTTTTCAGACCTGTTTTAGTGTTCTTGAATTTTGTATAAGTGTCAGTGTGGGTTTACCCCCTGTGATTTTCTTCTATTGTCCTGTCATCATTGTTGTCAACATAGCGTTCTCAGAGGCTGATTTCAAAGCTTTCCCTCACAATTAGAAAAGTTTTCCAAAATCATAACCAGTGGAGTTGATACCCCCAAATTTACTCATGATTTATTCCATTTAGCTAAAGGAAAATGGTGGGCAACAAAAAAACCCAGTTTGAAAGGTGAGTCTCGAGTACCGTTCACCAGTGTAAAGCATGCCACACGCTTGCCCGGCCGTGCCTTTGGTTATGCTTGTCTTTTTAACATTTAACAGCAGCATGATATGTTCGATTATTTAGGTATTTTATGTATTTTATATGTTTTTTTTTAATTTCATATATGGTGATTATGTTCTTTGGTGGTGGTTTAAATGCAAAGAATGTAAGATGCTTGTCCACTTTTGTGTTTATTTTTAAATTTCATGAATGACTGAAAGTTTTTCTTCTTTTTATCTTTTCTATTGATGGAATGAATTCTTTAAAAAAAATTGCATAGAAACATTTTGCATTAAGAAATTAGACATGGTATGGCATTTTGACATCAAATGTAATCATGTTCATTATTACTTTTGGTAGATTATTGTTTGTAATTACATCTCTTACAGTTGAAGCCTCATTATGCTTGTACAATGTGTACATACTTACAGAAATTATTGTTGCTTAAGTAAATGGCAGAAGATTACACTAACAATGGTTATTAAAAAATATTTAGTACTTTTCCCAACAACACAGTATTTTTGCTATTTAAAATATAGGTGATGATTGACTTGTAAAGAAAAATCTTGTTACTTATTTTATTTTAGTCTGCATGATGTTATGATCCTAATATCACTAGTGTAGTTTGTTACTTGACACTAAAGCAACCGTTTTTATCAGGGTGCAGAGGCACTTAGAGAATGATTGACTGAAAGCAACACTAATGTGATGTATATTAAATAAGACCATCACCAGCCAGTTATCAAATTACTATCATCACTAATCTGTTGATTTTTAAGTAATTCTCACAACAGCATGTTAGTATCACATACTTATCATTACCAGTCTGTTAAGTGAATAACAGAGTATGGAAGTGTCTTGCTTTCTGTTGTTGATAATAAATGACCATTGATTTGAGTTCTTTACTGAATCTCACTGTCTGATCAGATTTTTGTTTGTTTTTATTACTATTGAGGATTTAATGATTAAAATATTGGTATGTATTAGTGAATTAGTGAGGTATGTGTGCATTTTCCTACATGGATTTGTGAAATAAAATAGGAAGACTTTCAATCTTATTTTTGGACAGAAAGACATCTTTTTCATGAGATAGAAAATGCCTAGCATATTACTAATGCCTTTTCAATTTAACATAGGAGGGCTTGCTGTGGCTGTCCCTGGAGAACTCCGAGGATACCTGAATTGTATGAGAGATTCGGTGGAAATCTACCATGGGCTGAACTCCTAGAACCCACCATCAAGCTCTGCGAAGATGGGCATCTCGTCAACTGGCACATGGCTCGTGCTCTGAAGTTCAATGCGGAGGATATCAAAAAGGAACCAAGCATGAGGTAATGTGTTTAGACATATGATCTGTTATGTATATTGTTTTCGTGGAGAAAGAATCATTAGTGGAATTTGATTGTGTGATGTATGTCTATCCATGGATTTTTTAAATTTCTTTATGTGTAAATAAACTTGCAAATGCACTGACCAATACTTGTACATTAATATGTAATGAAGTGAAAAAATACACATTTTCCAAAATTCATGTATTCTGTGATTTCTATAGTTATCCTGTCATTCTTTCCTCCAGTGTCTTTATTAACCCTGAGACTGGCGATGTGTACAAGGAGGGAGACACGCTGAAGAGGCCCCAGCTTGCTAAGACCCTGAGAGACCTGCAGCAGGACCCCGATGCTCTATATAGTGGTCAGTTGGCGTCTAAGCTGGCTCAGGATATCCAGAGCTTCGGGGGCATTGTCACTGAGGAGGACCTCAGGATGTACAAGTTAGTATGGGGTTTTGAGATCTGTGTGTGTGTGTGTGTGTGTGTGTGTGTGTGTGTGTGTGTGTGTGTGTGTGTGTGTGTGTGTGTGTGTGTGTGTGTGTGTGTGTGTGTGTGTGGTGTGTGTATGTGTGTGTGTGTTTGTGTTTGTGTATTTATGTATATCCTTGTGATCTGGGCAAGCAACAGTACACAGATCCTTAACCCATCGCACCCCGACAGGCCTGTGTGGAAGGAAGCCATGAACATTACACTGCAGCATGGCCAGATAAGTATGTTCTCTGTGCCTCCCCTGGCTCGGGTCTCATTCTGGGCTTCATTCTCAACATCCTGGATGAATATGGACTTACCCCAGAGAGCATTGATGACTCCAATATTGTCCTGACTCACCATCGCATCACAGAGGCTATGAAGTGGGCCTATGCCAAG